AAGTTTACACTTGTCTTGGTTGACTATTATTCCATTTGCCGAGTGGCGCTAAAATAGCAGTGTTAGGTGCTGATTATGTTCATCTAGATTTGGTGATGCGATCAATTGTTTATCAATATGAACGTGGGCGAAATCTATGTCTCTTACTATGCTATCGACAAACCCTTGGAAAGTCTGAGCAGCTATCCATAATCCAAATGGCATTCGCAAGAACTCGAACAGACCGAAAGGAATCGTGGTAGCAGTTTTCTCAATATCTTTGAGAGCAACTGCGATCTGATGATATGCTCGTACCAGGTCGATCTTAGTAAAGATAGTCGTGCCCTTGAGTGAGAACTTAACGTCGTGCGTGTGGATTATTAGGTAGCTATGAAAACGTGTAGCTACGTTCAATGCTCGGCAGTCTCCGCATAGTTCACGACCAAAACCATCCTACTTGCTAGACATGTGAAGATGCCGAGCTTGGAGACTGTGGGAGGGACGAACAATACATGCAGCTAGTAAATTGTCGAGCTCACGTTTAGCGAAAACTAATTTTTCCGGTGACCCGGTAGTCCGCGGGTGACAATGTTGTGTGCTACATGATTAGCCACCGGTGGAATCTCCTCGAGAGGTTTAGTTAGCTGTGGAAACTTTTCGACTAAAGCGTTGAATATGTCGTCACGCAAATGAAAAACGCCTATGATTTGGTACGCTTTTGTCTGAGCTCTAAAGCCTGTTCGACGAATTTTCAATTAGCTGCAGACTACGTGAATTGACTAGCAATTCATAGTGCTGTAGGAAATTCATGCCGACTATGGCTGTTGTACCCTAAGCAATGACGAATATTCACAGATACTGTTGACAGTTGCTCAGGTTGACCCTAAGTTGTCGTGTATATTAGGTAGTAATGACAGCCATTTGCAGAGAGTATTCGAAGCATCGTAGCTTGAGACTTGTTACCACCCATCAGTACGAAAGTAACTCAGAGAGCTGTGTCTACTAGGTACCTAGTGCTAGCGTTATAGCCATGCACGTAAAGCGAGAGACCAATCTAAGGTGAGCGGCGGGCGAGCACTCACTCGTCTGCACGGGAGCTTCCCTGGGCCGTGATTGTATATAGGTTGGACTGTATATGATTTGCTAAAGTTTCGAGCAACAATTCCCAAACTATTTCAGAATTGGCTGTCGAAGGTCCTTCTGAAGACTGCGGGTGCGTGAAATATTGACTGGAATTATAATCATCCGTAGATGGTGAAGGAAGTGCCGGAAAATGAGCTAATAAGTGAGTCCGTGGACAGGAACAAAATACTTCATGAAGATTAACAAGAGTTTGGGAAATTGATAAGTTCATCCTCTTGAAGCTATTACGAGTTCACCTTAGACGATAAACGCGAACGAGACAATTACCAACGTTCAGATAGGCTACCTTGAATCCCAAGCTGAAGACAGAAGGATTTGTAAGCGTAGAAAGTATATTCTACAAACACCCAGCAATCAAGATACAATCAAGCACACAACTCTCGTTTGTTTATACGTCATAGAAACGTCCTTGGGACAGTTAGGAAAATAGCACACTAAAATACACAGCAGCCAATCACAGCGATGGATTTTCCTGGTGGGAAATGAAATATCAAGGTCAACTGATCTGTTCATGCTCGCAAACATGACATCGAAATAAGGCATTTATCAAGCGAGTTCTGGCGATCTAACATATCCAACAGAAATGCAGGGCTTCATCACCCAATATTAGCTTTGCATGGGATTACTTAACAACCGGATAAGACCGTAAAATAAGGTTCACAGTTGTGCGACTATAAAGACCTTCGTTCTGTTTAGGAAAATTCTGTTAACGACTTCCTCATATTGAAAAAAGAGTGATGCCACTGTATTTCTCACACTTGTTGAGATCACCTCCCTGTGGCCATATCAGCTCCCTTCTCGGTTTTCACATCCCCCATCGTCCTACTGAATATTTTATTGATGCAGATACGGTCGACTTTGCTCTGTGAAGTGTGATCAGGTGAAATCTAAACGACTTTGTATATACGCTCGTATGTGAATATGATGGCGCCATTGACCAGATTGTTGCAAACAGGTAAGTTTACAAATCTCTCAGCGGTTTAGTCCTTTTCTCACGGTCCATTTTGTCTCACAATGCCTTAAAATCCGTTGTTCTCTATTACAAACTTGGTATTTAGTTCTTCCATTAAAATGGTAAAATCTATTGATGATGATCTTTCAACGATTGACTGCAGCCTCTCGTAGAATTGAACTTTAACGTATTCATTGTAATCGTCAGTGAGCGCAGAGCATCATATGAAGTTAATTGTTATGCCCTCTTTCTTGTTTTGGTTGTCAGAAGCGGTACAGAACTCATGACTTTCTGAGGATCTCGCCTTTCATCATGAGACGTCACAACTATTGAATCAAGACCTTCTGACTCCCTATGCACAGATAAAATGGTCTGAATCAATTTTTCTTGTTACGTTTTCTTAAGAAGCTAGATTTCAAGAGATTCAGACATTCACTCTCCTCCATTCTATGAAAAATGACTATCGTGTCACTACTATCAACCTTTTATTTCGCAACTGTTGATGTCGAAATCAACAGTTGCTTGATGACATTCGGTTGTTTGTTATCCATCACTTGTTCCCCTTCATCAGATTTCACTGCATTCTCAATCACAAATTCATTACTGACAATATGAATTATTGTCTGAGTGGCGAGTTTAGTAGTCAGAACAGCTTTTCATTTCAAAACGGACCTAGTATTCCAATTAGACGTTTTAGGCATTCTTAGACCACGAACGGTTGGAGAATGAGAATGAAAATTACCTCGTTCTGTTGAGTGTTCTTTCCTGACAGACCTCTTGGCAGTCAGTGCTTCCTACCTAATCCATAGTATGTACATCCTCAGTGGTGCTTTTGAACATTTTAGTGATTTAGATTTGGTCGATTTTGTTCTCTGTAATGTTAGCCGTTGAAATATGTGTGAAGAGATGACTGAGGCGCTTCAGGCCAGGTAGAGCAAAAACACGGATCACGTTGGCCATATAATAGTGGAACAACGACAGGGAGATCGAAATAAGAGCACATTAGCGAGCGTTGACCTGTCCAACAACCTATAGTCGAAGGAACGTAAATCATAGTCTCGCCGATGGAATGCATTATACAAGCCAAAACCAAACACATGGAAAGAGAAGATTGTCAAGCGAGTCACTAAACGGTTGCTACACGTGAAAACGAGATCTCTCTCAAGAACGTTAAAAGCAGTTTACCTTGCGTTGACAAACAGATGCACTGCTAAAATTCGAAATGCAGACAGACCCAAAATATCTGCTTAGGTTCATGACTAGATGAAACCCGACGAACCGGAGTGATAGGACTCTTAAAAGTCCAAATGGAGAGGACCTCACTAACCTAGAGAGGCTGTGATCTTTAACACCAACTTCACCAACTACTTACACTGCGTGAATACACATTTAGAGTACTACTCAAACTTAGTACCACCTGACGCCCTGGGTAGTATTCGACTTACTTCTGACTTGGTACTAAGTAAACTAAAGTCTTTGAGCCTAGGAGAGTCGACGGGAAATGAAAATGTTCACCTTATAATCCTGAAACGGTCTGCATGAACACAGTCCATCGATATGTGACCTGTTTAGGCATTCTTTGTAACCACGCCACCTCCCAGCTGAGTGAAAAACAGCTACTGTTTCCAAATTTTAAAGCAGGATAAAGAAAACATTCAGCCTTTTACAGATTATTTGCATTACTACCAATTCTATCGAAGGTAATGGAAGGGATGGTAAATGAACGAACGACTGAGTGCATGGACATGTAAAAAATACTCCATGAAGCTCAACAGGGGTTTCCGAAATGCAGATCATGTGCATCCAATCTTATCGTTGCATGGGATTACTGATTAACCTGCTGCGACCAACAAATAATAAACTAACTTATCCATTTATTTATTTAGTTGTGAAATCTTCTTATTAGAGTCAGAATTTTCTTCTTATTATTCTCCACATTGCGACTGAATTGTTTCCGGTCTGGTAACGTGAAGGCCGCTGATTCGTAATGCGGCGGGTCTCGAAATGAACATTTAGTGTCGCGAACCAAACTTCTGGGTCAACCTGGATGAGATATACAGGTTGAAAATAAATAACCTCTACTTCGGAGTCTGCCATATTATCACATTTAATCGCAATCCATCTTTTCGAAAAGTTGCTGCAAGTGTCATACATATTAAAAGGTATCGATATGAAATGTGCAGCAACGGAACAATAAAAGCATGTGAATAGACTAAAAACAGACCCACTGTAATTGACTCCTTTTGGCGGTACTGTAGCAGTTTTGGCGTGTTTCAAATCGTGGACCCCCGACAGTAATGGAACCAGTCGCACTTTGACGTTGATCACCACTACAGGTCAATTGCGTACGAGGTCCAATCCCTCCGTAGAACCGAAATTGGAAGGCAGATTAGGAGTACTGATTGGTATTTACTTGTTGACGATCTCGTGGTATCTAAATATTACCGAGATCGTCCCAAAGTATGTAGGCGAGACCACTGTGTGTACGTGAGCAATGTCAAGGTCGCAAACAACGGAAAGTGGGGGTTTTAGTACAGACAAACAGAAAGTTATAGTAAAACAATCACTGATACGATTGGTTATAATAATAAATGCTTCTATTAAACCAATCGTGTTCACTTCATAAAAATGAGTTACTACACCCTTTTGCCCTGAAACAAACATACTCATTGAAATCATGGGTGATAAAAACTCACAAGCAACTGTCAAATAACCAGTATTAGTGTGATCGATTAGTGAGACCTTCAACAATTGGATACTAACAAATACCGCGAACCGTACTGAAATCGCAAGCATCGAGGGCCAAGAAATAAACTGGCTACACTAGCTCTCCTAAAAGAAATTATATATTAGTCATTGGTTATTAAACACCTGACCTTCAAGATTATTAGGACCAGTTGTAACTAGTCTGATAAATATATATATATATATATATATATATATATATATACATATATACATATTTATAGTTTGGAGTCATTCATAAATCAGCCATGGTTCCCAAGCTTGGTTATTGGAAAATCAGAGGCGTGAGTATTGATCTGAAAATTCTTCGAGATTTCGTAACCATCTCATCAGTTTAAGATAATCTAGTGACTTGCTGCAGATAATCGAAAGACAAATCAACGTTTGACTACAGAGACCAGTTGCAACAAGATATTGCCTAGATTCAGATTTTTGAGTACTGAAAAACTGATTTAGTTCAAACAACATCGGTGAGGTTCTCAACAGTGAGCGAGCATAAAAATTTACCATATTTTCAATCATCGTTTTCACTGACTGGATCCCATTTTTCCGGCTTCTAAGTAGATCTTTCGTCCCAAGCGTCTCATCTAACGTTCCCAAATTCCACTTTCGTGTGTCGGTAATGTAGACTGGTTCTAAAACGGACTTCAAATATATACGGTAGTTGTTTTGACATTCCTATTATACCAAGCATTTGAGTGCTTAGTCTGGGTCTTATTATGGAATGATCTCTTGCCACAAAAAGTGGCTTCGCTACAAAGTCATTAGTTTACTGAAACAGCTAGTTTTCGAAATTTCCATGAATTCATCTACTTAACCTGTATTTGATCAACGGTAATAGTTATCTGCTGTATTCTATATATTTGCATACAATCTAAAAATGTTTTACTGTTTTTTTTAGCTTGCACAACCAATTCGTCTTCTTTTGGAATATGTTAGACAAAATTATGAAGAGCGTTTGTATGAATGGAGTGAGGTTGATTTCTGGAAAAAGGAGAAATTCACATTAGGTCTTGATTTTCCCAACGTAATACAACATTTTTTGTAATGCATTATTCATTCAGCTTCCCTATTATATTGATGGTGACATTAAATTGACACAGTCTAACGCTATCATACGTTATATTGCTGATAAGCACAATATGTGTAAGACGAAATAGCATGATGTGTATTTTTAGTGGGTGGCTGTCCAAAAGAACGTGCAGAAATTTCTATGCTTGAAGGAGCAGTCGTGGATATTAGAATCGGTATTACAGGAATCGTATACAATAAGGAATATGTAAGTTTAACTCAGACTTTATTCATTTCAAGGAAACTCTCAAAATTGGCTTTTTCGAAAAACTTCCATCAATGCTGAAAATGTTTGAAGATCGTTTGTCTGACAAAATGTATTTGAATGGTGACAAAGTAAGTTACTGAATTTTATCCACCTGGCTTGTGATCTGTTGATTTGACTGCATCTGTCTCGTGTCAATAGCACATTGATGCACTCCGATCAGATGTTTGTAGATATATTAACATTCGATTCTCATAGGTTTATGTGTGTAAATAGTCATATTCTACCCTAATGCACAATTCATTACCACAACTGCATGTGATCAAACATGAAATGTGTAGAAATTAGAAAGTTGCACATTAGTTCAAGTTATGATATTCTTACTAGAATTAAGATTTAAAAATGTAAGCGAATTAAAATGCATCCTTTTTTGAAGAAGAGGAAGCTTCAAAAATGAAACAGAAGATATGGTGGATGTTTTCATGTCTGTAGAACAGTTTTAAGCGACAAACTTCAAATTATTCAATGTACATCTCAGATTTTACCAATGCGATGCATTTGTAAATTATGCGTTTCATTCTTATCACTTTGCTAAACTTTACGAATATCATTCCATTTATTATTCAATTCATATCGTAGGTATAGTGTGATGATGATTATTATTAACGAGTAGTATATATTTCTGTCAAAATAATGTATAATTTTCTATGGGGGTTTGTTCAAGTTGGAATAACAAGGAACTCGTTATGTCGATTGTTATTGACAAAGAAAAAGCTGTCACATAGTAGCTAACTATAGAACTCGTTCAGAGAGATTGTTTTTGTCCGTAGGACAGATTTGTTTTCGGTTTTGGAAATCATGTATTCATCAGAATGATTCAATATTTGACTACAAAAGATTGAATTTTTCTACTGATCTCTAGAAAATTAGTAAAATTGTTTACTTATCTTATTCTTTTGTAATCCATGTGTCTTTACAGATAACTCATCCTGACTTCATGTTATTCGACACTCTTGATGTGGTTTTATATATGGATCCCAAATGCTTGGATAAATTTCCAAAACTAGTTAGTTTCAAACAGCGTATAGAAGTAAGTTAGTGACAATTAGTGCTTCGTTCTTGTTTAATTCGACGGATCCTCATCTATTATTTTCTTTTTTTAAATTCAGAATTTACCACAAATCAAGAACTACATGAAATCTCGCAAGTTCATACAATCGCCAATACTAGGTTGGACTGCCATGGTCGGCGGTGTAGATGCTGCTCACAAATAAACCAACTCTAATTCTTTTGGTGGACGTTTATTATCATTCTTGCTCTATGTTTGTTCTGAATAAGAGTTATTGATAAAATTTCTCTTTCATTAAACGCATTATCTAAAACAGAGCACCGTAATTCGTCTAGCAAACATTCATGATGACTTCTGCTATATGTTTGTGCTTAATAAAAATTATTGATAAAACTTCATATTGCTCTTTTCTCTTGTATGAAATGCATTATGTAATAGATCACATCTGAAAAGTAGTTCATTCATTCAACCATTTATTTTTATCAACATAAGTTGTAATGAACTACTGTCTCGGTTTAAGGTGCTATGTTTTGGTAAATATACTACATGTTTCTACAATCACCGCGTACCGACATCAATTCGTAACTGTTATTGTTGTTCGAGTAGATTATATATTGGATAGGAGTTGAAAAGTCAAGAGGATACTCAAGCTTTTGAAACGGTTTCCTACTGAGTTGAGTTTTGTTGAAGGATGCAGACTACTCAGTTGGGACCAGGTGATATGACTTAAGATTGATTACATTCGTAGATTTGCATTCATGCTCCAACTTTTCCCTAAATCTTGAGTTCAAATGTCATCCGATGTTTGTCTTGCTTTTTCTGAAGGATTACAGCATTTACTTAGATCGTATTTTTTACACTAGGTTTGTTTCTCTCCATTGATAGTTTTCTTAGTTGCATTATCTTGTTCTTTAAGGTAGTAATGTTATGCTGTAGTCATTCAACTTGGGCCAAGGCATATTTGTGGCATATATTTATTGACAATTGATTCCGAACTCTGACAACTTTATAAAGTGTTCACTATGGTAATGCAACATATGAAGATTGAAAGCTGATCGGTTGAAAATTCTTATATAAGCTGTGAGATATACGTTTGCTTAGTACTGTTGATCATTGAAATATTGCGTCGGAGCCATGCGTTGCTCTTGGAAGATACCGTTTTATTGCTGTCACTGTGATGCTCATTACTCAGAATAATTTAGAAATAATCATGTTAGTCGTTGATATGTATTCATTCTATAATGTTTGAGATGCATTATGACGCTCCTTGGTCCTATAGTGTAAGTACTACGATATCTGAGTAACTTTCCACGCCTGAAACTACCTCTGTGATTGCGAAAATTCGCTTAGGGCTGAAAAGGACTGGCAGATTTATTGGATCTAGACGCTTGAGTCTTCTCACCGTTTCGTGGCAGGGATATTGATTACGAAATTGATAAGACAAAAGGCGACTGTCCGGTTGGAGTATGGACCGGATCCCCCAAGGTACTTTGTTAATCCTCATTCCAAACCAATGATTCATAGGGGATCCAGGATCCCGAATGAACCAATGGCTTATAAACATAGTGATAGTCACCCGTTATCATAAGATGGCTCCTCCTAACTTTGCTACACTTCCTCATAGATTAGACCTTGATGATTCATCCTCTGACTAAACCATTTGCTTGAGTCAGTGCACTCAGTCAGCCTCACAGATTTACTTGTGTGGCGCACATATATTTTGATGCTCTATTGTGCCAGTTTCAGTGTGTTTTAAGTAAATAAACCATCTGATCGCTGAGCAAGCAGGCAAGCGGTTGGTCTTGCAGCTATAGCTCAACTAGATAAACGGAAATGTACTTGTTCGTCGATTGGTTATTAACGGTCTAACGTCGTTTCTAAGAATAAAATCAAAACGTTGATTCATGTATATCGACTTATTCAAATTAACCGAGTATTCAAACACTATTCGTATGATCTTCCGAATAAATAGCATCAAGTAGTAAGCATTACTTCGTTGCTGATATATTTTGTTGATTGTTCAAGTTTAAGGATGATAAAAACACATTTGCGGCAACGTAAAATATCATTTCAAGATGATGTTCAGCAGTTGAACTCTGTTCAGGCAATCAATGGAGATTCTCACTATATGAAAGTGTATTTGAATAGCGAACAAAACCTTAGAATCCACACCTCTTTCCATGAAAGTCAGGAACTAAGCGATGTCAGTCTGTGTAGCTTACTCGAATCGGAGATAACTTTCAAAATTCGAAATCTCCGAACAAATTGAAGTAGGAATTGTGCAGTTTGTCAAGTGAGTAGTAGAAACGTTGGAGTAGGAAGCTGGAGGTTTGCACGGTGAAACCAAACGTTAAGTAAGAATTTTAAAGTTTTTAAAAACATTGATAATGATATTTTTCACTGTCTAACCTTTTTTATCGAATGTCCTCTTCTAAGTCGTATTGTAAGTCTCTCGGTAAACATGTTGCGAGTTGTCTTGGCAGAATGGCGACCTTCAGCATAGATTTGAAAACAGGAGTCGTAGAAGTAGCAAGCGTATGAGAGCAACTCTAGTATCACTGATTAGTCGCTCCATCAATGGAAAAGAGCAGAAAGCAAATTTCTGTGTCAAATTTGATAGTTTTATTGATTACTTTGAGGTCATCATCATAGTGATAGGTTTTGCTGATGTTGAAGAGACAGCATATACTGTTGATGTAGATTATGGAAAGCAGTGTGCCCGAAGCACCACCCTGAACAATACTACTGGTAATCGGTCGAGGTGCAGATGACGTCTAGGGATATACTTGAAACAATTACGAGTTTACCTCACTTGGTAAGCAGAACGGACATCAACGACGAAATGACACGATAGGCTATTCTAAACCGATTCACTCAGGCCATGATAACAAAAGGAAGAGGGCTTGATAGGAAGTGGAGAGAATTGATGTAGATGCGCCTAGAAAACACAAGATAGATAAGCACACTGCTGTAGTGTATTTACACAATGATAGAAACGCCCTTGAGACTGCCACAATATAGCGTACTAAAATAACCTGTCAGATAATGACAGTCAAGGATTTTCCGAGTGGGAAATGTAACCTAATGGTCAGCTGAGAGTCCTCGGCACTAGGGCAAAGAAATTAGTAATTTCACAATACATTTACAAAATCAGGACCATCCATAACTGAGTTATGGCGATCTGACGTAACCAACAGACAGTTCATTTTGGTCATCTGATTTTAATCGTGAGGAAATAACAAATCAATTACACTAAGTGACCAGTAATCCCGACGAACTGAAGTCTGTTGATAAAAAGACTGTGAGATACCTTATCGAAAGCCTTTAGATATCCAAATACAACACGATCACTAGTTGCTTTTGGTCGTGTATGCTAGTAACCCTATTAAAATATCTATTAGACAGGAAGCAGTTGAAGTCGTCCGAAGGAAAGGGCCGCGTGGTCTGCTGGTCTGGATGCGAGACTAAAGTCTAATCCGTAGTTGGGGCAGATGACACATACTGTTGACTGAATTGTGAGAATGAGGTTTCTGCTGTATCTATTTCGCAACTTCCTCAACGTAAAGATAGCTTTCAAAAATCACAAAGTACTAACAACCGGAGAATCGGTGAAAATAAACTATTCAATCGCACATTTTCTTGTTCTAATCTGAGATTACCTAAATTTTGTAAATCATATGAATTAAATCTAAGCGTTCAAAGTCCTCTAAGTTACCAGTTGTAGTTTGGTGGATTTTCCTGATTTAACTAGATGAATCGATGACAATAGGTGGATATTGTTTGCATCAATTCAGTGTGAACTTCGTTTAACCATGGACCATCACCAAGTAGTCTTAATCCACTAACGTGATTATGTAACATGACTGAATATCGTTTGCAACGGTTCAAGTGCATTCATTCTTTGTTTTCCTATTAGTTGTAATCTGAATTCTTCATCGCCTCTAGCTTTCTGTTTCGAAGTTGATTACACTGCTTTGTACTCCTTGAATCATACCCTTATCTTCAGCATTACCGCTAACACTTGTTGTGCCATGTGATTTGAATTGGGAATTCAACCTCTCTATGCTAACGTGGTATGGCTAACTGAACTGATGTACTTAGGTGTGAAAGACGTTCTACGTTGTGTCTCATTGACAGACTGTCTGACTGAAACTTCGTTTGATATGACAGGTTTACATTTTGTTCAGTATACCTATCATATCTCATTTACAAATTCAAGTAAACCATATTTACTGTGAGTGTTTAGATTGCCTCTACCTATGTCCAGTCTGTATGATATAATTGTGTGCCGAATGTCGCTAGTTAGTGATTGTGGGTTTCGGTTGAAGAAACACGATTTTAGAAGTTGTTGGGGGACACATTATTGGGGGTCAATAATTCATGTCCGTAATTTGCATCGTAATAATTGTAAGTGTTCCTGGTGTAGGCAGTGGAATCGATGGTTATCTAAGATCAATAAGACCACAAGTTCAGCAGAGTTCTTAGCTATCGCAACTGGCGACCACGATACCCGGCAGTGTTAATATGTATATATAACGTGGTTCGGGCACCCAGCCAGAACGATTCCATCAGTCTTCAGATATGCGTATATCCTGGGATCACACAGTAAGCGATGTAGTTGTTCGGAAACGGATATTAGGTAAGCATGGCATACCAATTTAATGAAGTAGTGAATCATCCTCATTTGAGATTGTACGGATATTTGTTACGAATTCTCAGCCAGGCGCGGCCAAACCAGAACGTGACACAAGCCCATAAGGTCACTGAGAAGTGTGGTGTGCTATGTTGTTAGATGTAGACCACATTGTTGGGGTTCACGAGGTAATATTAACCGATAGTTAGAGACCTTGAATGACATGGTTCAAAAGCGCCTGCAATATCATGATTACATGCATTCTTGCTTTCTTCTCAAGTTCCAATCTGTTCCGGAAAATTACTGAGTGATGTAAACTAGATATGCATAGGTCTTTAAGTAGGGGCTTGTACATGTATATCCGTGACTACACATAGAGTAATGGAACCCAAGATATTTCTTATAGTCTCACATCGACTTGGAATCACTACAATAATGTTTATTCTAAGTATCCTGAAAGTATTTCTAATTTTAATATCAACTATCTGGTACGATATATCACTCTTACTTATAAAAGAAACATGGAACGTTTCGTATAAAACAACAACTACAACAAACATAGTGACCTAGTATACTTCATGAACAGCAGATAACAGTAAATGACAAGATGCAAAGAATCAGATATTCGCATTGAAATGAATTCCTCATACTTTTAAGTTTTTCACCAACAACTGACGACTTCATGCAATATCAAAATAAAGAAGTAAAAAATGTTCAGTAATGCTTTACAAACGTGTATATTAAAAATGTCAAGAAACTGGTTTGTGCATGAATCGCAAACTATCCAGGGCGTACATCAGTATAATTCATTGTGACATGTATATTTGATAATTTTTTTCAATCAAAATAATAGACCATATATACTTATTCTGTGTTAAATTTTGACATGAAATTATAATGTGGTAGCCAAAATCTATTATGATTGCCAGTAAGCCTCACTTGTACATTATCACCAACAATTCTGTTAGCATTGTAATTGAAAAAACACTATTAGTTTTACTTTAATTCTGCCCTATTGACGATGGCAGTTGCACGACTCTAAACAAGTCACATCTTGCTTTAATGGTCCTAAGGTTTTGTTAACTGATATCTAATATCATTGTGATTAACTACTGTGCAAGTTGAATTTCTCGAGCTACATAATTGATGATAAGTAAAAGTTTCACACATTTCTGGCTAGAGAAATCATTAACTTCTCTGAGATCTGTCAGGAAAAAATGCTCAACAGAACGAGGTAATTTTCAATCTCATTCTCCAACAGTTCGTGTTCTAAAAATGCCTAAAACATCTAATTGGAATACTAGGTCCGTTTTGAAAAGAAAAGCTGTTCTGACTACTCAACTCGCCATCCAGACAATAATTCATATTGTCAGTAATGAATTTGTTATTGAGAATGCAGTGAAATCTGATGGAAGGGTACAAGTGATGGATAACAAACATCCGAATGTCATCAAGCAACTGTTGATTTCGACATCAGCATTTGCGAAATAAAAGACTGATGGTAGTGACACGGTATTCATTTTTCATATAATGAAGGAGAGTGAATGTCTGAACCTCTTCAAATCTAACTTGTTAAGAAAACGTAAATGTTATGACGCCTGATGATAAAAGGCGAGATCCTCCGAAAGACAAGACGTCTGTACAACTTCTGACAACCAAAACAAGATATTACATTACAATTACGTCAAAGATCAATTTTTTCGACATGCTGCAGTCAATTGTCAATAGATGACCATCAATAGATTGGACAATTTTAATGGAAGAACTAAATTCAAAGTTTGGAATGGAGAACAACGGATGTGAAGACATTGTGGGATAAAATGGACTAAGAGAAAAGGACTAAACCGGTGAGACATTTGTAAACCTACATTCTTGCAACAATCCGGTCAATAGTGGGATCATATTCAAACACTAACGGATACACAAAGTCACACAGGTTTCACCTGATCACACTTCACAGAACAAAGTCGACCGTATCTGCATCAATAAAATATTCAGAAGGACGATGGAGGATGTGAGAACCAAGAAGGGAGCTGATATGGCCACAGAGAGGTGATCTCAGCAAGTGTGAGAACTACAGTGGCATCATTCTTCCCTAAATATCAAAATATTTCTGATTCAAACTGAGACATGAATCAGCAGATTATATTTTTGGATGAAACAAAGCTATGATTACTCAGAATCTTCTTTTCTAAAAAATCATGACATAACTCTACTCATGCACTTACATAGGTTCATGAAAACGAGTAATTAGGAGGATAACAAATAGGTCAATCATCTTATAAATAGTGGCGATCCAAAAGAGCTAAACTGTCAGAAATCATGTTGAATAACAGAACATGATAATCAAGGCTCAGTAATCTGATGCTTTTGTGATATTTCACTTATCGACTTTTTAATGCTGTTGCTCAGAAAGTCACGAGTTACCCACAGACATGAGTTGATCAGGGTAATCGCTATAAATGGATTTTCTACCGTAGCAGTTCAAATGGTTTCCAATAAGTGCAATCTGAACGCGTACCTCCCAGTCCAATGTCCAGAAAACACAACAATTCTAGGAGAAAACGGTCTATATTATATTAAAAGATGGAAATACAAAGCAATACCTGAAGTTGATGCACTTTCCAAGGCACAATTGCTCCGAGGAGTATCCAAGGCAAAGGGGAATAAGTGACGTTAAGTCCAATCGCCACCGTATCAATCCAAATATGGCTGTGGCCATATTAAAGATCAAATTTAAACAACATATATACAGTTCAGAAGCAAACATAAAAACTTCAATATAAGTACAAAATATAGAAATTATAACAATATACAATGATAAAACCTCAAATTGGAATCAAATAAAATACCAAAATGTCAACAGAAAAAGTCCGTCATGTCATAACAAAAATATGTAAACATGGAGGGATTTTCCAAAAAACAAAACATTCAAAAAGGATTCTACACCGGCCCACAAAATCCCTCCATGCAAAAAAGCAAGCGTTAATGACACTTCAATTTACGGTTCCCACTCATCCCCTAATCCACACAGGAAGAACGTATAGGACTTACAGCAGTACGCCTACCCGCCCTCCAACATGGATATGACCTATCAAGCTAACCAGGTACCTATACCTTCCCATCAGGCCCTTGATTCCCCTATCTATCGTAGCATGACCTAACGGTAGTATAAACCTTACCCAATTAACCCACACGAACATGTACAACACGTCGTTAGGCTGGTCATATCCTATCCGGGAACTACATTCCATATCATGGGGATGAGTCGTCATTCCATCACCATGTTTATCACTGAAATGATCTCACATTCGTTTGGTCTATTAGTTGCTGGGTCTGTCTCAATCCGTTTCACTAGTGTACAATATTTCTTTCTAGACATGACACCAGGTGAGCTGACTTTATTTGTTGTCCACAGCTTTGGGATAGAACTGCGGGTTAATAAAAATCTTTAGGTTATACCCATCCTTGCTCCTTCTTTTGGGGTAGTAGTTTGTCCTAGTTTCCTTCCATTTTCGTGCTTAGACGTGGATAGTAAAGGAGTGTTCTCATACACTTAAAGACATTAGGAAGGCGTGAATTTGAAACTTTCGAGGGAGCAGGGTAAGTTTCTTTTTCGAAATCAATATTTCTGGTGAATGTAAACAGCTGAATATTCGTTTCAACTTTTCCACACTGGATTTAGCTAAAACAGAATTCATGTGATTCACTTCTGGCTGCTTGGAATGAGGAGCAATAATTAGTAAGAACCAGTACCATTCATTAGACTGTTGAAATCCACGAACATCTTAGACCATTATTATGTTAATGTGTTCGGACAAATGTACATATATCACCCTAACGGTGTATGGTGGAACAGACGAAGCTATGATGAGATGAAATTCATGCAGACCACTAAAACCAAAATAAGTTGTAATATCTGCCGTACTCTATCTCACCTGCTTTTCTCACCATATCAGTCTCTGAATACCACCTTCCCATCAACTATATTGATCACAAATCAAATGATCATGGTTGTGAGCCTAAATTCCTGCTTCCTCCTATTCTCCATATTACATAGCAAACAATCCATCTAGTGCTTATTGTGTCTCTCCAAAAGATAATTACTCATCCCATTTAAAATTATTGCTAATTAATTCCAGATCTATAATCCATAAGTTAACACACCTACACTCGTTAGCAATTTCACACAACCCTTCACTTATCCTGATCACTGAAAGTTGTTTATGGTGCCCGAGACTCATATCTAAGACCTGCTTACACTGATATTTCGTGTGCATACACGTGTCGTCGCACTACTAGTTTATTTATCAGGGTGCAAGATATTTGGGTTAGGATCAGCTTATACTAAAGCGAGTGGAATGAATATGTGTATAGGCGGTAATTAATGCTATCTTATACCTGTTCATACAAACGCGATGACAATAAATGTACACTGGTACAGAAAAGTTGCTACTATACAAATGACTGACTGTTAGATAACTTAATCAGATTAAATGTATTCACTAAATGTACGTGAGTTTCTATGTGCTCGTACATATTCATAAGCCTTGAAAAGTAAGTTATGCTATCCCTAAACACAAATAAGGGCTGAAAAACTTGATATAAAACTACAGACCAATTATTATCACCCCACTTGTCTCACGGGTTATGGAGAAATTTATAAAAGATCAATTCTCACAACACGGCTTTACTAGACGTTTGATAGATTTCTTTAATAAAGCTACCAGCATTCGCGATCAAAAGCAACAACTGATCATGGGTTACTGGCGGCCTAATGCAATGGATTAGATCTATTCTAACAAACAGATAACAAATCACCAAAGTTAACCCCAATATATCTACACCTTAACCAATAACCAGTGATATTGTGCGAAACAGGACTAACTGATTAAACATTCGCTGTTCATTTGAGGGTTTTCTTTCTCTTTCTTATTTCTGCAGTCCATTTTCAGTCACTCTGTACAGCCTTGTCAGGACTACTTGAGATAGTAACGGTTTTTTTCAGAGTCTTTTAGCATAAGTTCAGAGTCCAACCTACCAACTTCTACTGATATTGCACATGTTTCGTTTCTGGGTGTTCAACCGTTACTGTAATTGCACATACTACTCTCGTGAATTCTTCACTGTTATTGCTCGAGTCACCAGCATAGCTGCCAACAAATTTCGTACTGGTCAACTGCAGAAAACCTATCACCTCCTAGATCAGTATTGCCCTACTCAAACAGAAAGACATACAAAGTTTATGAGAATTAGGTTCCGAATAGCTTCGGTAAGTGAAATCGTACAGAAAGAACAAGAATCGAGCGCAAAGGAATCAACTGGTTTAATACTAGCTCATGAAAAAGATAGTGGATATTGGAAAGGATTATGCGCATTGACGAACCATTTGTTACGTTCATCACACTGCATTCCTTCCTCTACAAGAGGGAAGCAATTTAGCCGCCTACACTTATGAACATAGCCGATCACAGTTAGAAGATTTAAGGGTGGAAACATTAACAAGTTACCCTAGATTCTAACTAGTGTGAGAATCAACTAACTACAAAGTAGCAAAAAACAAATTTATACAAAATTCGGATCTTTAACTAGAATAATTCAACTTAAAGTAGACCTAAGATGTTTTTGATATAGTAAACATAGAAAAACCAAGTTAATTCACTGCAACCGTTATTTTTAAAACGCGCGCAAGGTCGGGTGACGGAAAGCGCGGTCAAGTCTGAAGGTTGGTTTTTTTTCTCTCCCGTGTCCTTATCTGTGCTAACGCGAAAACTATGTGTCGTAGCTTATAACCTACAATTATATATGTGTTTTCGAACGAAAATCAACGATCTGGAAGTCAGAATATTCAAATTAATCTGTAGTTGCTAACTGTAGACTCGCAAATTAAATGTCCCTTGAATGACTTCATAGTGCCAGTGGTTGGATAATTTTAAGATGTTATACCACAGTGTATGGTAATTGCCATTTCGTTGTATATTCTTACTCATATATAAGCAAATGTGTACATAGGTAGTAAACGTCTTGATTTCCTGGAAGCCTTTCTCAGTCATGAGCAAATTTTGGGGAATCGCCATTGAAGATCTCATGATTAGTGAGACTGAAACGCCTCAAATTTCCGCTAATATGAAGTGTTCTCATAGGCTATAAATGTATACTCAGGAAACCTCAATACTCAATATTTCAGTAGTCGTATTTAACACTTGGTTATAGTTTAAATCACTTTTTCTGGTTATCGTTAGTTAGCATTGTTAACACACAACTATTTGTTGGCATACACAAAGCTTAAAAAATACCTTTAGGAAGTCTATTCAAAAATCAGCCCGAACAAGTGAAAACGAACCGAAATATAGTCAAGTGGTAAGAATAAGCTCCCTTACAAGTGCTACATTATCTTGTATTTTGCCTTACGTCTCTGTACTGTTTAGTTTCTCACACCCAATATTCGACCTCAAATAAAGGCCCAAAAAGCTTCATGACCTAGTAAGCTGACAGTATCTGTCCACAGCGGATTCTAAGCTGTCAGTAAAAGTCATTAGTGTACCAGTATTAATTTGGAATCTAGTCATCAGAACTACGAGTTAAAAGAGTTTAGTTTTGACATTTACACAGGTACCCAAGTAAATGTGTGTGGCTGAAGTCTCGGCATCATTTTAAAGCACACGTAACACCACTTAATAGTTATTAGTCTTGAATGGTTCGGAAAAACAATGTCATAGACAAAATTACTCTCAATCGAATGAAACTAACCTCATCGTAACCCACTCTCTTAGGCGTTCACATGGACATCAAATTGAAAACATGGAAAAACCTCAGTAATTGACTTAGGAATCCCAAGACCATACAACATTCTCTGTTTATGCGTATTCCTTCATCTAAGTTATATGCTTTCCATCCTCTAATTTTCATTTGTATTTGATTTCTGGGCGCACTTTAATTATCGAAGAGAATAAATTAAACTAGTTATGGCTTATATAACTGCTAGGCATTAGTAGTTAATTGACTATTCATTCTTTATTATCTCATTTACCAAGTAAAAATGTATTTACTTAACTTCAATCCGTATTACGTACACATCAAATTTGCTTAGGTTTGTCTAGGTGTCAGTAAACAGATTGGATTAAGACCGACTTGACACATGTATTTAAGTGTCTTTGTAAAACTGTTGTCGGAGAAACATCTCATGGGCTTGAACTATCATAGTAATAATAGTCATTATTTTCCGCTTTTTTCTTATATAGAGCCCTAGGTAATGTTCTTTTAGATCAGTATCTCAAGATTTCCGTTCTTGTTTAACTTCGTCGTAGACATGCTTTTCGAGTTAACATCCACTCTTTACGTTTTCTCAAACCCTAACCTAAATTCCTCCTCATCTCTATCTTTCTGTTTCTAAAATTGTCCCACTGAATTATAACTCTTTAATCATATCTTCAAACCCTAATCTTCTCCATAACCTCTTTCTCTACCTCTATGGGGTTTGAACTGACAATTGCATCTCTGTGTTAAAGTGATGTGGCAACTTGAACGAATGTGCTCACGTACAAAGTGCTGCGTTGTAATTGACTGACTGATTGTATCTCAAGATTATCACTTCATTTCACACCTCAATATCATTATCATTCATATAACCTACTACAGAAGCACAAGTATGGCTTATATCATTCCAAACTTATAGATTTTATGATAAGCTAGTTTTGTCGTCATTTGCTGTGCGGATTATCTTATTTGACTTCTTATCTAAGTATCTAACTGTTCTCTAATTATTTTATTGGTCTATCAATACGATTTCATGAAAAGTGTTCTTTTCAAATAGTTTCGTAACGCAATAATTATATAATAAAAATGGCTATAAAATAATATTAAATAATCGAAAAAGGGTAATAGTAATCTAATTGCTTGATTGAGGAATTCAACTAGAGCGTTTTTCAGTCAGTCAGTCAGTTACAACGTAGAACTTCGTACGTATGTACATCAGTTCAAGTTGCCATATCATATTGGCACGGAGAGATCGAATTGTCGATGCGAATCCCATAGTAGTAGAGGTATTAGCAGTGATTAAAAAGATTGGAGTTCCAAGAAATTCTTCAAGAAGTATGATCCAGTAAAATAAATTTAGAAAGGCGATAACAAAGGTGTTGAGCTCAAGAAAAAAGTCAAAGCGTGGATGCGTCTGCGTCATTGCAAATGATTTTCAGCCATGTCATTCAAAGTCCTTAACCATCAGCTGATATTTTCTCGCGGACCCTAACCAGGTAGTCTACACCTACCAACATAGCTCAGTCTAGTTGTCAGTACCTTCATGGATTTGTGCCATCAATCAATCAATTGCAACGTAGAACTTCGTACGAAGGCACGTCAGGGATTTGCGTCATGATTTGGCCTGGCTTCCCCTAGCTTTCTTCCAACCAGTTCCTACATCAGATAACATCGCTCGTCCTTGTAGTCAGTGATTGGACATCCGTAACACATGTCCCAACCACTTCAGCTGATTAGGATTCACTACTTCGTCAATTGTTCTAATCTAAGACGTTCCTATATTTCATAAAATATTAAAGAAATTACTTACTTACTCCTGTTACCCCCAATGGAGCATAGGCCGTCAACCAGTATTCTCCAACCAACTCTGTCCTAGGCTTCTCTTTCCAGTTTTGTCCATTTTGTTCATTCTTCTCATATCTCATATTTCTCGGCGAAATGTGTTCCTTGGCCTTCCTCTTTTCCTTTTATCTCGAGGGTTCTAAGTGACGGCTTGTTTCGTGTTGCAGTTGGGTGCTTTCCGTAGTGTATGTCCTATCCAATTCCACCGCCTCTTCTTGATTTCCTCCTCCACGGGAATCTGGTTTGTCCTCTTCCACTGATGGTGTTTGGTCAACGAGTCCCAAGTATTTTGCGTAGACAACCCTTGATTAATACTTGTATCGTGTGGATAATGGCCTTGGTAGTTTTCTAAAACACTAACAAGAAAACATGAAAGGAATCGACAAAGTATTTGTTACACAAAGCCAATATCATATTGATTGCGTAAGGATCAAGTGATGGTTGTTTGAATATTTTGAAAGAATGAGGTTAGCTGAGATTTAACTAAAACTCATTCATACTGATTCTCAAGGCAGAGAGTGTGGATGTACATACTTCTTTTGAATGTAAAGAGACAACCGAGTATGCAATATTATAGTAAGGAAACTGGCCCTAGGTAAGGATGTCAGATCAATAGATGAAGTATTGAAACTTCATCAGTTGAGGTGTTTAAAACTTGTGTTACGAATACCCGACCACCGACTGCCTCAACGAGCTATGTTTTGTGGTGTAGGAGTAGGTTAAAAGAAAGCTAGAGGCGGCCAAACAAAAACATGACAGAAATCCATAGAGTCGCTGACAAGTGGACTGAGTCATGTTGGCAGATGTAGGCTACCTGGTTGGGGTCCGCGAGACAAAAGTCACTGAATGTTAGAGACCTTGAACGACATAGCTCAAAATCGTTTACAATGGCTCAAGTGCATCCATTCTTTGTCTGCTCTCAAATCCTAATCTTCTGGATTCGTCAACACCTCTACCTTTGTCTTTCAAACCTTATCTCACCGAATTATACTTTTTGAATAATATCGTCAAACTCTAGTCTTCTTCATTACCATTAATACCTGTACTATCTTGATCACTATGGGATTTGATTTGACATTTGTGTCTCTTTGCTAATGTGGTATGGCAACATGAACTTATGGTACACACGTACGAAGTTCTACGTTGCAACTGACTGGTTATAATGTCTAAATAATGCTATCGGTCATGTTATATACAATGCACCAATTCACTAAAGTACTTTGGATAAATGTCTTTATATACTAACTAATAAATGAGTTATCACACAGTGAGCTATTTAAAATAGAGTTATTGTTTTCTGATGAAGTTTTTCTGTTTAAGTAACTAATCAGTAAAATATAAAGCTTTTAATGTAAGTTAATTATTTTAGAAATATCAAATTCTAGCATCAATCTGTTATTATTATTATTATTTACTCGTAATTCGGAACAAAAGTAACATGTATACACTTTATTTAATAAATGTATGAATTAATATTATTTCATTGCCCTTTTTAGAACTATTTGTATTTCTTTGTCGAATGAATTAATTCTGTGATTATTGGTCTTTCAAAAGTGATTAATAATATTTAACATTATGGATGGAAATCCAAGTACACTTTCTATCTTATCAGATAAGGTAAAAATGAATGTGCCATTGATTGGTTTATATATTTAATTGTTGTTATTTTTACATTTCTATATGTGTGCATACTTAGAGTAGTGATTTGATAGTTAACGAATTCGGATTTCAGCCAAGTAGGTCATGGGCTCGAACCCTACACCATCTTTCTTTTTAAGTAGATGAGCACCAGTGTCAGTCAGTCAGTCAGATGCAACGTAGAACTTTGTACATAAATACATCAGTTCATGTTGCCATACTTTATCAGCGCAGAGATATAATTGTCAATTCAAATCCAATAGTAGAAGAGGTAGTAAAGGTATTAGAAGTAATCGGAGAGGAGGTTAGGATTAGAAGATATTATTCAAGAAGTATGTGATTCAATGAGAAAAGTTTAGAAAGTCAAAACTAGAGGTGTTGAAGAATCTAGAAGATTAGGATTTGAGAGAACACAAAGAATAAATGCACCGGCTCCATTGCAAACGGTTTTGAGCCATGTCATTCAAGGTCTCTAACCATCGATTATTATCATCTCGCGGACCCCAACCAGGAAGTCGACAACTACCGATCTGATGTAACAAATTCAGCTGTTGCAAATATATCAGACTTTATGGCTGTGAAACATGGTCAGTTAGAGTGGAAGATATTCGTTGGTTACTGGTTTTTGAACATAGGTGTCTCTGAAGCATTGCTCGTGTATCATGGGATAACCGAGTAAGCACCGTTGTTGTTAGGACACGAGTCCTAGGTGTATAGATGGCAGGTCAATAGATGAAGTATTGAAACTTCAGCAGTTGAAGTGGTTTGGACATGAGTTACGAGTGTGTAACCACCGACTGCCTCGACGAGCGATGCTTTGTAATGTAGGAGTAGGTTGGAAGAAAGCTAGTGGGGGCCAGATCAAAACATGGCACAAATCTATGAAGTCACTGACAAGTGGACTGAGTCATGTCGGTAGATGTAGGCTACGTGGTTGGGATCCGCGAGACGATAGTCACTGATGGTTAGAGACCTTGAATGACATGGCTCAAAATCGTTTTCAGTGGCGTAGGTGCATTCATTTCCTGTGTTCTCTCAAGTACTAACCTTCTGAATTCCTCCTCATCATCATCATCTTTTTCTTTTTAAGTTTACTTCTCGAAAAATATCTTCGAACCCTAATCTTTCCAATTACTGCTACTCTACTACTATGGGATTTGAATTGACAATTCATGTTACCATACCACATTAGCACAGAGACGTGATTGTCAGTCCAAATCCCATAGTGGTAGAGACAGTAGAATTATCAGCAGTATTGGAGAAGATTTGGGAGCGAAGATATGATTCGAGAGATATAATTCAATGAGATGAATTTAGAAACAGAAAGATAGAGATGATGAGGAATTCAGGAGGTTACAATTTGAGAGAACACAATGAATGAATGCACCTGCTCCATTGTAAACGATTTTGAGCTATGTCGTTCAAGGTCTCTAACATTCAGTGACTTTCGTTTCATGGACCCCAACCAAGTAGCCTACATCTACCAACATGACTCAGTTCATTTGTCAATGACTTCATGGATTTCTGTCATGTTTTGGTTTGGCCTCCCATAGCTTTCTTCCTACACCTATTCAATTCATACATTGCAAAGCATAGCTCGTCGATGCAGTCGGTGGTTAGCCATACGTAACACAACCACCTCCACTGATGAAGTTTCAATGCTTCATATATTGATTTGCCATCGTTACCTAGTACTCGTTTCCTAACGACAGCATTGCTTACTCTGTTGTCCCACGATACACGAGCGATGCTTCTAAAACATCGATGATCGAAAACTAGTAACCTACGAACATCTTCTACTCTTAACGGCCATGTTTCGCATCCGTATAGGAGAACAGAGCGAACTGCTGCGCAGTACACCCGTCCTTTGGTTAGCGAACGGATATCACGCCTACACCATAAGTGACGCAGGTTGGCAAAAGCTAATCGAGCTTTCTGTATCCGCGCTGAGATTTTGTCAATCGCCAGGCTATCAGCGCTGATGAGACTCGGCAGATAAGTGAATCGGTCTACACGTTCGACTACTTCACTCCCTATCACTAGTTCAGGTGCCGATGTAACCCAATCTTGAAGCAACATTTTGCATTTCGAGGGCGAAAAACCGCATCCCGAACATGCTCGCATTGTTGCTTATGGTAGTCAGAAGACTTTGCATTTTGTCAGCGTCTTCACCGAATAGAACTATGTCATCGGCATATTCTAGATCAGTAAGCGACTTTCCTGGTAGAGAAGGTCAACCCCTGAAAAATCTGACGAACATGTTTCACTAACCTTATTCGAATCATATATATATATATATATATATACGCTCTTGTTCATTCAATTGATAAGTTTTTGGTTGCATTTTAATCTATTTATTCGCCAGTATATATTTGTAAATCCAAATGAAGATCAATTTGTACGTATTAAAAATTGTTTGGATATAGAATTAGAAAATGGACAAGGTGAATGCTTTTTAGAATTAGGAATCGGTGGTAAGTCTGACGTTGTTATTTTGTTCAGTTGACATTATTATACAAAGATCATTTCAGTGAGATTGATTATCTATGGCCTCGCTCCTCCTTTTAGATGCTTTATTAAGGTTGAGAGTGGTCAAAGTTTGCTCTCCATCTCTCTCTCTCTCTGTCTACAAACGCTCTCATGTCGTCATACATATATAGCTATTACCAAAGAATTCCGACTTATTGAGTTGTTAAATGCTTGGTTAGGGCTTACAGCAGATTAGCGGGTATGAAGGATCCATCCATCTAGAGGAGTTGGAGAATTCCGATTTCATAGTAAGTGGTACACATGGACTCTAGGATACGGATGAAGCAACTGGTATATAAGCCTATGAGACTACATCTCTTAACATTGCCTTCACTATAATGATTTAAGCAACCTAAACAGCTAAAATTAAGATATACTTCGTTCGATGACTGGGTTTTAATCAGTAAGATATTCTATTCGACCTAGATTTTGTGTCAGTCATTACTACTCGTCAAAATAGTACCTAAAATCTTGAGGACGTTGAATCACTTGGTGAGATGGTCAGTCAGTCAGTTGCAACGTAGACCTTCGTACGTATGTACATAAGTTCATGTTGCCATAACACATTAGCACAGAGAAGTAAATGTCAAATCAAATCCCATAGAGATAAAGATAGTAGAGGTATTAATGGTAATGAAGAAGACTAGAGTTTGAAGATATTATTCAAGAGTGAGATGGTGCTTCACAGTTATGAGATGTTACGATCAAATTTATTCAAACTTCAAATAATCGCTTGTAGGGCTGAAATTTTTGACTAATCTACATAGTAATCCGTAGTATTGACTACCTCTAATCACTGCGATTTCAAGTCACTTAGACTCTAGTAACTTCATTACAACGTTCAAGACCTGGATGAATATCATATGAATCTGTTAATATGACATAGATTGGATTAAAGCATGATTGCGTTGCTTCATGCTGATTGGCTCTTTCGTATCCAATCAGTGCTAGCCGATACTGAGGGAACAGTCTAGAATTTCCTCATGTAAGAAATCTATAACTATATACTAACGTCTTTTTCCTCTGGAAACTTCTGTTTTCTATTCTAACCTTGTTATTTGAATATAATCTCTATTTCCTTTTTCAATCGTGTTCTAATTTTGATGAGAACGTCTCGAGTGAATCGGTATTCGAGAATTCTACTCTAAGCATTAAGGAATAATAGTTGGGTTATAACAATAAAAGGGAGAATTATAAATGAATCCCTACTCACTGGTCGATCAGTATCACACTATTCAAATTGTGAAATATGTGTAGTTGATTTTTGAACATCGCCACTCGTTAGTTAACATTTAGCTTCCGTAATTAGTTAGCTAATATTTCAAATATATATATATATATATATATATATATATGCGTTACGGGATTGTGAAGATGGTCAAGTTACACATTTTTTAAAACCACGAGTCGATCAATGTTAGACCACCATTAGAAACCTGGAAGCACTGGACAGCCGTTTCGTCCCGGTATGGGACTCTTCAGCAGTGCGCATCCACGACTCCTGCACCCCGCAGGATTTGAACCAAGGACCTTCGGTATTGTGCGCGAACGCCCTAACCGTTAGACCACTGAGCCCTTTGCGCAACTCCGTGAATTTGACCAAGTTGGACATTAACACCGCTAGATACCGGCTCAGTGGTATAACGGTTGGGGCGTTCGCGCACAATACCGAAGGTCCTGGGTTCGAATCCTGCGGGGTGCAGGAGTCGTGGATGGGCACTGCAACTGATTAGTCCCATACCAGGATGAAACGGTCGTCCAGTGCTTCTAGGTTTCTAATGGTGGTCTAACATTGATCGATTCATGGTTTCAAAATATATATATTACTGTTAACCATTTTGTATTTTCCATTAATCACACAATGTAATGTACACAATAGATGGACAATGTCCTGGACTAACTCCACAAGAAATGAATCAATCGGTATGTACAGCTGAACGTCTTGCTGATTGTTTAGCATCACATTTAATTCATTTACGTGATCGTTGGATAACAGCTGGACCACAATCTTCAACAACAACCACAGTACAAACAACATCAAGTGTAAACACCACTACAACACCGAAACTATCCACTACTAATAACAATACTCAAAGTAGTAGTCCACGTCGAAATAACTCCGGTGGTCATTCATCAACAACACGAAAAGATTCAATACATGTAGATAATGAAAGTGAATCAGCAAAAAACACTGATGATAGTAATAATAAGAATAAAGAATTATCGAAACGAAATGCATCAGAAATAAATATGACTACTACTACTACAACTAGTACTACTACTACTCCTGTTATGAGTAGTAATAGTAGTTTAGTGAAAGAATATCTTCTTCGACGAAAAACAGCTTCCGATGATTTTGTCGATGTTCGGTAGGTTAATTTTTTCTGTTTCTCTTTTTCTCTCTCTCACTGCTTGTTATCTTCGTTAGTTCATTTCATCTTTTTTGGTGTTAAAGTCAAATAATTGAATGTTTTTCCGGAATCTAACAAGATTCCCTAATATATTCAACTTCTCAAGCTAAGAATTCAATCGGATTACATTCATAAAAATGTGTCCAAAATGAAACTGTTACTATTGACAGTGGAATCCGAGATGTGCGTTTTGTCCTGTCTTGAACTCGTCAGCCGCGCGTTCTTGTCATATCTCAGAGCTGATGTTCACCTCGGAACTTGAACACAGTACTGATTGCCAATTTGCGTCATTTATGGCTTTGGCGAGATATCCATCTGTCAACCAAAAGACAGGTTTGTTGCGGAATGGTTCATACCGTCCTACTTTCTGGTTGTGGAATAGGGCAGACAAGAGTAGGTTACTAGTATTCGATCGTCAGGGTCTTCGAAGCATTGCTTATATATCCCTGGGACAATCGAGTTAGCAATGTAGTTGTTAGAAAAAAGGTCTTAGGTAAGGATGGCAAATCAATGTATGAAGTATTGCATCTGCATGAGTTAAATTAGTTGGGATATGTTCTAGGTATACCCAACCACCGACTACCACAACAAGCCATGTTTCGTGGTGTAGGAGTAGGTTGGAAGAAAACTAGGTGCATCTTGACCAAAACATGGCAAAAATCCATGAATTCATTGACAATTGGACTGAGCCATGTTGTTTGGTGTAGACTAACTGGTTGGGGTCCGCGAGACAATAGAAACCAATGGCTAGGGACTTTGAATGACATGGTTCAAAATCGTTCACAATGGCGCAGGTGCATTCATTCTTTGTGTTGTCTCAAATTCTAATCTGAACTCTTCATAACCTTCGTCTTTCTCTTCTCAAATGTATTTCAGATTAGAGTTCTTAAATAACATCTTCAAACTGTAATCTTTCCGACTACTGCTCATACTCCTACAACTTCTACCACTATAGGATTCGAATCGACAATTGCATCTCTGTATGCTTATGTGGTATGGCAACTTGAACTGATGTATGTACGTACGTACGAAGTTCTACGTTGTTGTTAACTAACTAAATGACTGACCGTTTTGTTTCAAATACCATCGGGGTATCCATTTATCTACTTAGTCGAGATAGTCACTCGGCTGAGATTAGATTCAGATTGAAATGATTATATATGTATATATATATTCATAGCTGTATGAGAGTATTTCGAGAGAGTAGAATCTACCCACTGTCAGGCGTACAAGGGCATTTAGGTACAAATATGAAACCTCATCTCTTTAAATTAAAAGCAGTCTATATTGCTTGGCGTTTCCATTCATGAATGACCGTACAATATCACTGATATACCGTGATGATTCTGATTATATGTGGATACTACTGAATGTAGAAGCATATATTTAAGCGTAGTAGAGATGATTCAGTTTTGTTGCACCTCAAAGCGCGATCTAAATGGTCGCCTTATCATCGACTGTTAGATAACACTGTCCTGTCAGACCATTTAAAAATAATAATGGCTTTATTCATCGTTACATGTTTAATAAACTATGAAATTTTGAACATGGAATATTTGAACAAGTTCGCGTTACAAAACAATGCATGATTGACAACTGGAAGGAGGAAGTGAACAAACAGTTCAAGGATCAATATTTTTTTGATCAACGATCATTTATTTTTCAACAGATTAATCAATCACTTTAATGTCTCATTGTGTACTTTTGGTTTTTCTATCTTGTAAAACAGTAAATAGTTCATGAACTTGTGATATATATTTTTTATATGTACACACGTGAATAGAAGATTATGCAATTAATTGACATAAACAAACGTAGTTGAAATCAGAAATATATAGCTCAACTATTCAAATAAGCCGCCAATTCAGGCTGCATCGTTTTTCTTTTTTCTGTGATTGCAAATTTTAAATCTATTGACTAAAAGAACTAATAATTGTTGTCACTGTATGTAAGTAAAATGATGTCTGGAGTGTCTGATACATATTAGTCAACAACAACGTAGAACTTCGTACGTGTGTACGTACATTAGTTCTAGTTTTCAGACCACATTAGCACAGAGACGCAATTGTCGATTCAAATCTCATAGTCGACAGGATTAAGGTTTGAAAATATTATTGAAGGAGTATAATTTAGTGAACTTAATTTGAGAAGAGAAAGATAAGGGTCATGAGGATTTCAGATCAGTTTCGGAAGAACATAAATAGTGGATGTACCTGTACCATTGCAAGTGGTTTTGAGCCATGTCATTTAAAGTCCCTAGCCATTGGTTACTATTGTCTCGCGGACCCCAACCAGTTAGTCTACACCAACCAACATGGCTCAGTTCATTTGTCAGTGAATTCATGAATTTGTGCCATGTTTTGGTCAAGATGCATCTAGTTTTCTTCCAACCTACTCCTACACCACGAAACATTGCTCCTTGTGGTGGTCTATGGTTGGGTATACCTAGCACATATCCCAATTATCTCAACTCATGAAGATACAGTACTTCATCAGTTGATTTGCACACACTCGAATAAAAACAACTATGATAAAAGTGAATAGTTAGCAAGGTTGGAAAATGTGTAACCCGAGAAGAATGGATTGATTAAATTGTCCAATGGCTGAGACAAGCTTTGTGGACTTGGATCGATTCATGTTGTAGTGTGTGTATGTCATGTCAGATGGCTATTCGAAACCTGAAAGCACTGGGTGGCCGTTTCGTCCGGGTATGGGATTCATCAGTAGTAGTGCGCATCCACAATTCCCGCCCGCAGCAATCGAATCTTGTTCGTTCGGTCTTACGCGCGAACGCTTAACCTGTAGATTTCGAATTTCGACACGTTTTTAAAATGTTATTTACGAAATCATGAATCGATTCATGGTAGACCACCGTTAGAAACCTGAAAGCAGTGGACTACCGTTTCTGCCTAGTATGGGACTCATCATCAGCAGCAGCAGTGCGCATCTTTAATGACTCATTATTTCCACTAACATTACTATTAATATTATTATTAATCTGACATTTACAAATGCATGTATATTATTCTCATTGATTTATAGTGTGGCCGTTGTAGGCAATGTGGATGCAGGCAAATCCACTCTACTTGGTGTATTAACTCATGGGGAATTAGACAATGGTCGTGGTTTAGCTCGTCTACGTTTATTACGTCATAAACATGAAGCTGAATCAGGACGTACTAGTTCAGTTGCACATGATATTTTAGGTTTTAATTCTGTTGGTCAAGTTGTCAATAAACCAATGCATGGTCATTTAAATTGGTCAGAAATATGTGAAGCATCAGCGAAAGTAAGCTTTGTTTGTCTACTTTTTAAAAACTTTCTTTCTCTCACACTCATGTGATTTGGCCTTCTTGTCACAATCTGTTTGTGACATCTATGTGGTTTAATTCTGAAGAAAGAAATTATCAACAGTTAGGAGTGTTTTTTTGATGGATTGAAGTTAGCTTTGAAACAAACTATGTTGCTAGTTGTGTAAAATAGACACTTTAAAAGTGCTGTGCTTTAGTTTGAGGGAGAAGTCGTACTACTGACTTGTAGAGGAGTATGACATCAGTTAGGTGTTGTTTACCTCAGACAACCAGCATCTGTAGAGATGCTGAATTCTTACAAGAAAGGAAGGGGTTAGAAAAGGTCGGTCCTAAAAATATCACACTTCAGCTTACCCCATGGATTTCCGTCTCCGTCGGTAAGGCCACTTGAAGAACACTTTACAAACTTTCTATAAAAAGGCCGTTCGTGATCGGCCTTAAGCAGTTGTCCCTTGAGCTCTACGGTCACACTTCCAAGTGGTTCAGACCAATGCTAAGCCGATTTTCTTTTCAGGTTCCTCAAGAAGTACCATTCCGCTATGTTTGCAGCCGGAAAATGACATTCACCTTCATACTCTTAACAGCACATGAGACGAAATTTTAGTCACTACCAATACATAGTGTAGTAGTAGCGGTATTGCTAAGGTGTGCGCTTAAAAATGATGTCGAATCTGAACTTGTCGCTTGTTTATGAGTAGAAATAAATGAAACTATTTTAAAGAAGCTAAAATATATCAGAGTAAGGGGTGTGAAAATAAGTTGGGTATGCAAGTTTCACTAAATCTAACTTACTAGTTTTTGGTATTTTGGGTCAAATTTCAGAAAACGGATAATTCCAATGTGCCAGGAACGAGAATGTTACTACTTTGATGCCTATAATATATCAGTTATATGAAAAGGAAACTGCATTAAGGATAATTTTCTTAATCGGTAGTCATAACAGCATAACCCGAAATATTGACTCCATCACGTTTTTGTAAGTAGTGCTTGATATGTCACTCCTGTGGTTTATACAAGGCCTTACCATCGATGGTACAAGTTTGTTAGGCAAGGCAAAATGTACTGTGTTTACTGTTTACCTTTTCTAACTATCCAGCTAACTTGTTTAATATAGTAAGACCTAATTGAACGACTATTTCAGCCAGTATAGATCAATGAGGTTATCATGATATATACAAAACTGACCACCACATTGTGATAGCAGCTACGGTAAGAAATCGATTGATTCAACATTGATACAAGGATATTTTATGAAATATTCAATTTGTAAGTTTTAGTATTCGATTTGAAATGACTTTACTCGTGGACAACATCAAAACCTAATGAGGACTGGACAGTTGTTTTGCTCTAGTATGCAACTCTTCAAGAGTCCATACCGTCTTAGAATACAAAACAGCCCAGTGTGATAAATAAGAGACGTTCTGACCACCTGGAATAGATGATCTATATGAAGAAGAGACAGTTTACTAGCCAATAAGTGTACACTTTATCCTCATAGATTCATTTGCAAACCAAACAACATGTCATCTAGTTTTCAAAACACTTTGATCGAATCATGTACTCGGATCCGATACTGTTGTAGCTTCTAAGTGACACCCCTCTCCCTGAATACTACTTATAAACCACGTTGCGAGTAGCATACCACCATATCCAGTGATCCCTAGTTTTCTACAATATGATATATACTACTGACAATAAATCTTATAAGTAATATGTAACGAAGTGTTGCCCGTAAGTTACTACCGACTCGAAGAGTGTATTGCATCCGAATGTATGGCGCGATCAGACTGTTTTTCTTGAATAAGTCGGCTTAATCGTCCATCTAGTTTTTCCCTCTTCATTCGCTATGACTAAGAAAATTACCATTTACTTAGTAGACATTGCTGTCATATATTTTTCCGTACACGACTCATGTTTAGTGGGATTTGTTTCTCCAAATTCTTATTTTCTCTCAATTCATCACATGGTCTTTTTCATGTATTCTCGTATCCTTTCTCCTCTTCTTACACATCTAGGTCATCACATTTATTGATTTAGCCGGTCATGAACGTTATTTAAAAACAACCATATTCGGTATGACTGGTCATGCACCGGATTATGTTATGTTTATGGTCGGTGCTAATGCTGGTGTCATTGGTATGGCTAAAGAGCATTTAGGCTTAGCGTTAGCCTTATGCGTACCAGTGTTTGTGGTAGTCACAAAAATTGACATGTGTCCATCGAATGTACTACAAGAAACAATGAATTTGTTAGTTCGTATACTGAAATCACCTGGTTGTCGAAAAATTCCAGTGTTAATATCATCAACGTAAGTAGTAGTATATTCATAATTATGTTTTAATTAATTTGTATGATTATAATTGTGTTTTCGAATTTCTTACGGTCAGGACACGTGTTATGTAGGACTAGACCACCGGCTGTCGTAATGAGCAATCTTGTCTAGTGTAGGAGATGAAAGTTACGAGCAGCCAAATCAAAAACATGGCACAAATCTATTGAATTCACAGTGACAACTAGACTGAGTCATATTGGTAAATGTAACCACCGTACTAACCTGGTTGGGGTCCATGAGATAACAATAACCGATGTCTAGGAACTTTGAATGACATGGCTAAAAATCGTTTGCAACGGCACAGCTGTTGTCTCAAATTCTAATCTGAATTTCTCATGACCTACATCTTCCTCTTCTGAAATGAATTTCAGAAGATTATATATACTCCTTAAATATTATCTTGAAACCGTAATCTTTCCGATTACTGTTCATACTTCTACTATCTCTATCACTATGGGATAGGAATTGACAATTGTATCTCTGTATGCCAATGTGGTATGGCAACTTGAAATGATGTACGTACGTACGTACAAAGTTCAATGTTGTTACTGATTAACTGACTGATTATTCTGACAATAAAGTATCTCTTTTAATTCAACTTCCAAGTAAATAGATTACTTATATTGATCAAGTGAATGAAGTCATCATTACGATTGATTTAACCCCATACCATCCTCTGGAGAAAAGATACATTTTTATCGTTATTTCTCTTGGAAGAAACACTGTAAAATCACTGAATGATTTTCACTAACTCTATACCATATCCGCGTCTTCACCGTTACTGAATAGTTGTATGATATTTATAGTTTGTTACTTTACACCTAATAAATCGTAATGGAGTATAGTCCGCCGGCTAACGAATTATTTTTTTTCGTTAGCGTTTTTTTGAACAAGTTGGATTTCTATGGGGATGAGGTGGTTGCCAACCTCATTCCCAACCCTCCTCCCTCATCCTCTATCTCTGGGCTTTTGACTGGCAGTAACGGTAAAAGGCCTCACACGGAGTTTATGATATTTAAAGTAAGAATGTACAATATTTTATTTGACATGTCGTACTACAGAGTAAGTGTTTAAAATGTTGAAAAGACTTTTATCGTGACAACAACAAAAATGATTTTTCCATAAATGTGACATTTAATATGTGTTCATATTTATGATATACAGTCAGTCAGTCAGTCAGATGCAACGTAGAACTTTGTACGTGCGTACGTACGTCAGTTCATGTTGTCATACCACATTAGCACAGAGATGTAATGGTCAATTCAAATCCCATAATAGTAGTTGACGTAATAAAGGTATTAGCAGTAGTCGGAGAGGTTAGGATTAGAAGATATTATTCAAGAAGTATAATCTAGTGAAATAGACTTAAAAAGATAAAGATAAAGTGATGAAGGATTAAAAAGTTTGGGATTTGAGAGAACACAAAGAATGAATGCACCTGCGCCATTGCAGATTTTGAGACTTGTCGTTCAAGGTCTCTAACCATCGGTTTCTGTCGTCTTGCGGACACCAACCAGGTAGTCGACACCTACTGACATGACTCAGTCCACTTGTCAGTGACTTCATGGATTTCTGTCATGTTTTGGTCTGGCCGCCCCTAGCTTTCATCCAACCTACTCCTACACCGTAAAATATAGCTCGACGAGGCAGTCGGTGGTTAGGCATACGCAGCACATGTCCCAACCACTTCATCTATTGATCTACCATTCTTACCTAGAAGAAGAATTCTTGAAAGCAAACATATTGTCTCATTGAAATCACGAAGCGATCAGTGTTAGACAACCACTAGAAACCTGAAAACACTGAACGTTCGTTTTCTGCCTAATACGGTGCTCATAAAAATTGCACACTCATACACGGTAATCGAATCCAGGACATTCAGTCTCACACGTATACGCTTAACCTCTAGGCCAATGAGCCGGTATCCAAGGGTGTTATTGTCTAACTACAATCAAAGCATGATAATGTGCGACCATTTTCCATTGTCTCCGGTGGATAAATGCGTCATTCTACACGGCTGAATTCCAGGAATGACTCTTGAAGCTAGTTACAACACAGGTTCACCAACTCAGTGGTTTACAGGTTAGGCATGCTAACCAAAGGTCTTTGGTTCAACACCCATCTACAAGGTAGTCAGTCTACAGGCACTTCTGAGGAATTCCAAACTAGGAAAACACGGCTGTCTAACATTGATCAATTCATGAGTTTCATGGAACTCAGTGATCTCCACCAACCCTCTGATGGTAAACATATAATGTTCAATAAAACTTATGCAAACTAACAACAGGCTGCATTATTGAAACAACATACATACATATTACACACTTTAATTGGATGATTCATTCCGTAGTTGAGGCTTTGTGATTTTCATCTGCTCAATGATGAAGCATAAGCCGCCGCGCCGACTAGCGAATTATTTTTTTTTTTTGGTTAGCGTTTTCTTTCTTTTTTTTTAGTGAGTTTGTTTTCCTCATTTATTCGGGCTTGAGATTGGCAGTATTTCTAGATTGGCTCCAGGTGGAGTTTATTTCACAATTACTTACTTACTTACTTACGCCTGTTACCCCCAATCGAGGAGCATAGGCCGCCCACCAGTTTTCTCCAACCAACTCTGTCCTGGGCTTCCCTCTCCAGTTCTGTCCAATGTTTGTTCATTCCTCTCATATCTTTCTCTATTTCTCAGCTTAGTGTGTTCTTTGGCCTTCCTCTTTTCCTTTTGCCTTGAGGGTTCCATGTGAAGGCTTGTCTCGTGATGCAGTTAGGTGCTTTTCGTAGTGTGTGTCCTATCCACTTCCACCGCTTCTTTCTGATTTCCTCCTCCACTGGAATCTGGTTTGTTCTCTCCCACATTACGTTGTTGCTGATAGTGTCTGGCCAACGAATTCGAAGTATTTTGCGTAGACAACTGTTGAAGATTACTTGTATCTTCTGGATGATGGCTTTGGTAGTTCTCCGAGTTTCCGCCCAAATACAGTAGAATTGTCTTGACATTTGTATTGAAAATCGTGATTTTGGTTTTGGTTGAAAGTTGTTTGGAGTACCAGATATATTTCAACTGTAGAAATGCAGCCCTTGCTTTGCCAATCCGCGTCCTGACATCTGCATCCGATCCACCTTGGTTATTGATGATGCTGCCCAGATATGTAAAGGTGTAAACGTCCTCCAAGGCATCTCCATCAAGAGTGATTCGGTTGGTGCATGTTGTGTTGCATCGGAGAATTTTGCTTTTTCCTTTATGTATGTTGAGACCTACTGTTGCAGAGGCTTCTGCTACACTGGTCGTCTTCTCTTGCATTTGTTGTTGCGTGTGTGCGATAGAAGAGCCAGGTCATCTGCGAAGTCCAGATCGTCCAGCTACGTCCTAACTGTCCATTGAATACCGTGCTTCCCTTCAGATGTCGATATCTTCATAATCCACTCGATCACCAGGAGAAAGAGATTCTTTAATAATTTTATGTATATATATATATATATAAATGATTGATTTCTACTGTAAACAACTTGTTAACTAGTTAGTTATTTGTTTAAACACATTATTTAACTAAATCTTTTCAATGATCAATATTTATATTCTGTTTTTAATTATTTCTATTCCCGCCACTCATTCTCTTCTGTTGTTCTTACAACTACACCAACAACTACAACCAATGACAACTGCCTCAATGCAGTGATGATGTAATCTGTTGTGCAACAAATTTCACTTCAGAACGTATGTGTCCAATATTCTCTGTATCCAATGTGAATGGTACAAATTTAGATTTATTAAAATTATTTCTTAACTTATTACCATCACGTTCTGAGCCGCGATTGAATGAATTAGCTCATTTTCAAATTGATGAGATATTTTCTGTACAAGGTGTTGGTACTATTATTTCGGGTACATGTTTGTCGGGTGTCATTAAACTAAATGACATCTTATTACTTGGACCGGATTTATCTGGACAATTTAATTTAATTTCAATTAAAAGTATACAACGTAAACGTTTATCAGTGAATTATGTACGTGGTGGACAGACTGCATCGTTCGCATTGAAAAAACTACGACGTAATCAAGTTCGTAAGGTGAGATATGTATATATATATATGTATACATGTATATAGTTTTTACTTTGGTGTGTGTCTGTGTGTGTGTGTGTGAATGCCGATGGCCTGGTTTGTGACGAACTCTCAGCATGGATATACAAGGCTCGATTGGCTTTCGCCGAATTGCGTCACTTATGGTGTAGGCGAGATACCAGTTTGCTAAACAAAGGACGAATGTACTGCGCAGTAGTTCGCTCCGTCCTATTATACGGATGCGAAACATGGCCGGTGAGAGTAGAGGACATTCGTAGGTTGTTTGTCTTCAATCATTGGTGTGTCAGAAGCATTGCACGTGTATCATGGGACAATCGACAGACAGACAGATACAACGTACGTACATTAGTTCAGGTTACCATACCGCGTTAGCGCAGAGACGCAACTGTCAATTCAAATCCCATACTGGTAGAGACAGTAGAAGTGTTGGCAGTAATGGAGAAGATTAGGGTTCGAATATATGATTCGATAAGTATAATTTAATGAGATAACTTTAGGAAGCAAAAGATGGCGATGATGAGGAACTCAGGAGGTTAGAATTTCGGAGAACACAAAGAGTGGATACGCCTGTTTGATTGTAAACGATTTTGAGCCATGTCGTTCAAGGTCTCTAACCATCGGTTACTTGCGCTTCGTGGACACCAACCAGTTAGTCTACACCAATCAACATGACTCAGTCCAGTTGCCAGTGAATTCTCCTCATTGGTCGTCCTGACTATCAATATGACT